TGATCCAAAAGGAAGATGCAGCTTGTTTCTCAACAACTACACATCAAATGTAAGGGTGGACTAATTGGTTTTGTTTAGCCAGTCATTCTTAACTAGACCACTTAATTGGGTAATAAAAACCCTTCATACATTTTTAATTGTTAAATTGTATTCATGGCTTAAATATCAATAACAAAACATTGAATACACTTGCAGAAACATTGTTATCTTTTATCACTTGGAGGCAGGGTCTCTCTGTAGTCCTTACTGTCCTGGAATTTGTAGTGTAAACCAGGCAGGTTTTAAATGCACTGAGATCCACCATCCTCTGCCTCCTGAATGCTAGAATTAAAGGTGTGTGCCACTACCACCTGGGTGAGGAATATTTTTAAACAAGTAAGTATTAACTAACAGGAAATCATCAGGAGATTATATTTTGCTTTGGTGTACAAAAAAAGTCACAATGAAAATAAAAATATACATTGCAAGTTATACACACAGGTTAAAAATAATTATAAATTTAAAAATTTTTATATATATAATACACAGGGGAATTCATATTTAGCTTAGTTTTAGAGTGGTTATTTGGCACATTCAAAGTTCTAATTGGGATTCCCAGAAGAGAAAAACATGGAGCACAGACCAAAGTATTCTAAGATTCAATTTTTAAAGCATAGATAATACACCTGAAAAGAGACAAAAAACACAAAAAAGCAATTCCAGGGGAATAAAAGAAATCCATCTTGGATAAGAAATAAATAAAGGGATGTGCAGTAACATAAATGAATAATAACATTGCATCAATGATGTGGGAGGGATCTCTGTTTTCTGAGCCTTATCTCCAAACTACACAGCTGGCATATTTTAAGACTGATGATTGTGCTTTGAGAAAGTACCACATTGTCTTTTAAAGTTGAGTATTCATATATCTGAGGTTCAGCAATTATACTTCAAGATATAGCCAATGAGAAGTTTGAGTAAAGACACTATAACAAAGGAAATTCAAGTAAAGACAACAAGGATATTCAACATCAAAATGTCAAGTAACATTAATTTGTCACCATAGCAAGCCTGGAGCTAGATTCTGTATTTTGATAGATATAGGTTCCATTAAAGGACAGCGAATGAGTAAATATCTCACAAAGTGGAACATGAAACAATTGTCACAATTAACAAATTATGATGACATGCAATGAGGTCAAAAATGTTAGAAAATCAAAATATTTTAAAAAATAAATACCAAATGATCAAAAGAGGATATACTTACTTGTGGTGATATTTTGTTTGTGCCCTAACAAATAAAGCTTGTGTGAAGATCAGAGGGTGAAGCTAGCCACTAGTTAACCATAGAGGCCAGGCAGTAATGGCACATACCTTTGATTCCAGCACTTGGGAGGCACATATGTGCTGTGGGATGGTCTGTATGTCAAATTGCTCTTATTGGTCAATAAATAAAACACTGATTGGCCAGTGGCCAGGCAGGAAGTATAGGCAGGACTAACAGAGAGGAGAATTGAGAGAACAGGAAGGCGGAGGGAGACACTGCCAGCCGCCACCATGACAAGCAGCTTGTGAAGATGCTGGTAAGCCACGAGCCATGTGGCAAGTTATAGATTTATAGAAATAGATTAATTTAAGATGTAAGAACTAGATAGCTAGAAGCCTGAGCCATTAGGCCAAACAGTTTAGACATTATAAGTCTCTGTGTTTACTTGGTTGGGTCTGAGCAGCTGTGGGACTGGCAGGTGACAGAGATTTGTCCTGACTATGGGCCAGGTAGGAAAACTCTAGCTACACACATGCCTTTAATCCCAGCACTAGGAAGGTGGAGACAGGAACGTAAAGTAGGTGGAGGTACAATCTCGCCCCTTTCTATCTGAAGATTCAATAGAGGTAAGAAGTCTCTACTGTCTGGCTCCTTTACTTCTCTGATCTTTCAGCATTTATCCTGATATCTGACTCTGCATTTTTTATTATTAAGACCAATTAGAATTCATGCTACACTTATTTCTTAACAAATATAACAGGTATAATTATAGTAGACAAATAAAAACAAGGGAATGTGTGCTGCTTACGTCATGTAGATGGAGGAAGGACAGGAGAGAATTAGTAGCTCTAGGTCGATTCAACAGCTTAAAGCGGCATGCTTATAGACGCTTGCTGTACTATTTCAAATAATCAGGTTGGTGAAAGTGGTTCGTGGGCTAGTCAAATGAAGACACTGTGTCATGACTCCAGTGTCTATGGTTCCACAAAAGTCACAGTCTATTATTCCCACAGTCGACACAAAGACACTGGACAAACCGAAGGAGTAGGCAATTCCAAACTGAAGGATATGTAGGTAAATTAGGTGAATGTGGTTTGGAATTTTCCAAGGTAAACCAGATGGCCTGTTACGAGTACTGGGCATGTTTCAGGATTTCTGATCTCTCTCTCTGTCTCTCTGTCTCTCTCTCTCTCTCATACTGAAGTTGAACACAGAGCCCTCAGCACTGTACAAGCACTTTGCCACCCAGCCCTCTTCATATCTTCTATTTCAAGACATGATCTCACTCAGTTGTTTGGAATAGACTGGACCTCCAGTTGTAGCCAAGGCTGGCCTTGAACTTAGGGGTGTGTTGTTTGCCTCCGTCTCTCAAATAGCTGAGATTACAGGCTTGTGTCACCAGGCTTTCATATCTCTTTTAATCCTTGCTACTGGGAATGTTTTCCCACTTCACACATTAAAAAAAAATGTCCAGGGTTTATGTCCTACAACTCAAACTAAAATGTAATTTAAAAACACCGTTTGTGGGGCAGATAGAATAACTATGATGGGAAAACTCATAAGCAGGTAGACTAGAATTTTTATGGAAGGACTCTTGAAAGGGGACAAAAGGCATGGCAGTAATGAGATGACCAATGTGAGAAAGCAGGGACTTGTGCTGATATAATAAATGAATGTAATGAATGAAATGTTGAGAGGGTTAAGAGAGAGCAAGGATGCCATCAACACGTGCTATACTTCTCCAGCACTAGTGAGAATGGGTCATCTTAGCATCAGTAGGCCCGATAGATAGGTGAAAAAAATGTTAGAAGAAGCCAGTCACCTGGAAGATATCATCATGGACAGACTCAGACCAAGCACAAAGTAGGTGGTGGTTACTGGACTCTCCTGCTGGGAGGCTGCTGCCAACATCCCCCACGAACTATTAAAAAAAAATGTAGCCGTGACCAGGGAATTTTAGTCACATCACAGGCAGGTCTTGTTCCCTTTGAGGTATTGAGAAGGAAGAGGACACGACCTTCAGGAGAGGGGACAGTGAAAGTAAAGCCCAGTTATCGTTAAAACTTTCTCGGCCTTGATGATGGTTAGAAATGTATTATTTGATAACCATTATATATACAGAATGTCAGCTGGGGAGATGGCTATGGCTGAGTTTTAAAAGCTTTCCCCGGCAAGCATGAGAAACTGGGTTTGCATCTCCAGAACGCTTGTCCCAGCTGGACACAGTGTGTAGTTCTAGTGCTCTTACAATGAGATGGAAAAGTGGAGACAGAAGAATCCCCAGAACTTGGCAGCTATGTGTGCAGCAGCTTAAGACCCTACCTCAAACAAGTGAACGGTGGGAACACCCCAGCTCTGGCCTTGTTGAACATGCACACGTGTGCACGCACACACATACACACACACACACACACACACACACACACACACACACACACACGAGTGCAGGAGAAGAGTAGAGAGAGAGACAGAGATAGATTTAGAAGTACACAGGTCCTTACAGGCAAATATCATAGCCCAATTTTTTCTAATACATACATACATACTGGATCAGTGACATGAATGAAATATTACATTCCTATTTTATTTTTAATCTTGGCATTAGTGAAATACAAAACTTTACAATTCCCTACTTTTCTTGTTACCAGAAAACAATATGATGATCTAGTAGCACGAAATTGAGAGCAACCTTTGGTGTGTTTTATGGCATTTACTTTACTATTTTCAAGAGGAGAATAGTTAATATAACAGTCATATTTTCAACCATGACCATAGATATTGATGATTTAGGGAAAACCTTACATTCAGGTTGCTCCATTCAGCAAGAGCAGCCCTGATCTGCTGCATCTTTTACACCTAGTCCATAGTGACATGTCAGGCAGGCCTATAGCTTTCTGACAATGTTAATGATCTAATTTTGTGCCAATGCATCTTTCAGGCATAAAGAGGTGTGTTTATCTACCCTAAAGCTTCTTTCCACTGCTAGCTCTAAGCTGTCATCTACCCACAACTGCACACTGATCTCATTTGTGGACAGCTATGTGAGCAGAGGCATTGAGATATGTTGACTGGAGGATGAGAGTCATCCAGTCAGGAACCATGTAATAACAAACTCTATGAACACACACAGACACACAGACACACACACACAGACACACACACACACATACATACGCGCGCGCGCACACACACACACACACACACACAAACATACAGATTGATAGGCAGATGAAAATCTTAATGTAATCAGTTTAAAAAATGGTATTGTTGCCACATCTAAACAATTGATGACTTTTAATAATATACGTATGATATTCAAATGAGCATAGATCTAGTCGATTTTCTAAACAGTCTTATTAAATAAGAAACACAGAGCCAAATACAGAGGTAATAGCCAAAGAGATCAGAGAACTAGGAAGAGCCATGACTACCTTATCTTACCACCTCACCACTGTCACTTCCCTAGAGAGAGCTTCTTCCTGTCTAACCTGTGTTTTTATTGCCTTTCTGTTCTGCCTCCTCATTGGCTCTAAACTCACCCACATGACTTCCTCATCACTGCTTGTCTATACAGACTTCCAGGTCTCTATGGTTGGTACTGGGATTAAAGGCTCTTGTCACCATGCTTGGCTGTGTCTTTGACCACACAGAGACTCTGCCTGCCATGGATTAAGGGCATGTACTATTACCACCTGACTTCTGTTTATGGCTTTGTGACCTCGCTATGTGACCTCTGATCTCCAGGCAAACTTTATTTATTAACATACAAATAAAATCACATTTCAGCACAATTAAAATATCACCACACATAGATTTCATTTTTTCCCTTCAATAGAAACAGATTCTCCCCAGCTCCCAAGAAGTCAGTTGGGGGAAACTTGGGGTTGTAGTATAAACCACTTCAAAAGGACTGACTGGGGAAAAGACAAAGATGAAGATGGCTTAGCATTCCCAGAGATAACACAAAGTCAACATCAGAATGTTTTCATCATTGTCACCAAGACAGGGATACTTGTTCTAAATCAGTAAATCAGACAAAATCAGTATTGTCTGTCTTCCAGCCATGTCATCTGAAATGTCTGACAAATGCAGCTTAAGCATGTGATGAATTTCTTAGAGGGTGTAGTTTAGCAGAAAAAATGTCAGAGACACTTGATGACCTTCTGAAGCAACTCTGGAGAAAGGAAGGCCTGAATAATTGCAGAAATTCCAGAACTAGTTATGAAATTGAACATTTAAGAATTTCTGCCAACCTCATTATTATACACAAGACTTCTGTCAGCTGTTTTTAGATTTGTTGCTATGTATAAAAGAGACATTTCATAATTAAAATGACTAAAGTGTGTTCTTCAATCAAATAGGAGCATGGATAGGTGACATACAATTTAATGACTAATTAGAGAAAGAATTCTGAAAAACATAAGGTAAACTATTGTATGCAATGTGTAAATTCACTACTCTGATGGGCCACCACACTGCTGTAAAGTTCATTTCTTTAAGACTACAGTGATTTCTTCATTGTGTGTGCATTATCATTTATTTTAATTTCCACCTTCCCCCTTTTTCTAACCAGGTCAATTACATATGAAGTTCAAAACAATCCCTCCCTTCATCTCCTTTCTGCCATAACACATCTTATCAATCCCATTTTTGAAACATATCAGATAGTGTTAAAGAAAAAAGTGGTCCAGTCCCAATGTCAAGATGTCAATCACATCACAAGCAGAAGTGTACCAATTATTTTGTGAATTATTCCTCCCCGGTCTTTCTGTATTCTCTTCCTCCTCCACTCCGAGTTTCTCCAACAAATGACAAAGAGAATTAAAGGAGAAAATAAAATTCCTCTTCCAATTCCTCATGTGGCTCCTGGAGTCTGTAGTTGGCATTCAGTGTCCTTTGTGTGGCACACACACACACACACACACACACACACACACACACACACACACACACACACAGTGTTTTTCTATAGGATCAATGGTTGGGTTTCCATTGTGCTCTCCTCTGCACAATTTTCTGCCATAATCAAAGTGATTTGGGGCCCTATCTTGTCATTATTTTAGCTCCTCTATCTTGTAGTATAACCTTCTATGTTTATGCAGTATATGTAATATAGTCTTCTATGCTGGCTTAGTCTCATGAAGGCAGATTATTCTTTTGTTGAACAAATCAGTTGTATTTTACTGCAACCATAGGGCCTAGGTAAAACCCAGTCAGTCCTAGCCACTCCCAACAGCAGCAGAAAGGCTCCCATACATTCCCTGTTCTTCACTGTCTCCAGAGTTCTCCAAAGCAGGAACATCTGTCTTGTTTGTGCACCGCCTGGCTTTTCAATTAGGTTCTCAAAACTCTATACACGGCACTTTGCCACAGTGGCCCCACTTGGGCATGAGTGACTTTCTTCAGCACACACTTCTACCCGGAAGCACAAGTAGATTTTCTGTCCTCACAACCCAGTCTTCCATGGTGGTTCTTTAAAGAGTTCCACCCACCAGCCCACCTGCTCCCTTGACAAATTTCCCTGATTGGTCCGGCAGGACACTGAGAGTCTGCGAATCAGTTTGATCAACTTCTAGTATTCCTTCCAGTGAGCTGTCGGGCATCCACTTTTGCTGAAGGAGCACCTTCTCACTGTTTTTTGTTTGTTTACTCTCAGTAGAGTAGAGCAGAGGATGATTTGTGACAGACTAGGTCTACTTTCATGATTTCTGTTTTCTCTGTGAAATAAGAGATAAGATTCCCATGAAGGCTATCAGAGGAAATGGGAAGGGTGTAGATGTAGCAGAACAGTGATGATTTGAAAATGATTTTTGTAAAAATATATAAAAATAGAAATTATGTAATGTGCTAGAACACATCAGGTTATATAAGTCATTGTACTGCAATCTGAAAGGTCAGCTTCCAGGCTGCTATAGGGTAGTAAAGAAAATGCCCCAGAGTAGCGAGGCTTTGGGGTTATTTTCTATCTGAGGGTCTTAGGAAAGGAACACACGCGTTCTGATGGTGACTTTCTTTATTCTCTCATTTGCTCTCTTCTCTCATCTTGACTTTTCTGTCTACTTTCTCCTCCTTGTTCTTACAGCTATATATACTCAACAGAAACTTTCATGTTGAACATAGGAATTACATTTTAAGGTCACATTTCAGTAAACAGTAAGAAACAGAAATCTTAGCTCTCTAATTGCCAGGGCTATAATCCAACAGCTACAACTTTAAAGAAAGATCCAGTTATTGCTATCTATTTAGAGAGATAGTTAAACTACTGAGGAGTTTAAGAGAAATAAGGAATTTGTGCATACATCCTACATTTCTAACTGTAGTAACATTTTAAAGTAACATTTTGTAATTAACAGAAATACCGGGCTTTCCCAAAGTGTTTCTGGAAAAAGAGCTGTGTAGTAAATGCTTTGGTTTGAACTTAGGTTTACCTTCTATCTCCTGATAGAGGACTATCTCCAAGGCACAGTGACATAAAAAGCATTTTAAATCTTGGAATATATTTTCCTATCCTGTGTATAACTTCTGATCATCTAAGAACACCACAGCCCTCATTAGGGCCTACAGAGTCAAATTATTTTCTGTGGCCTTGACTAGTCAGAACATATTCTCACAAACTGAGATCAGGAATGGGTGCCAGGTAACAATAATTGGGCCTTTTTGTATTTATAACCTAGCCAGATAACTCAGTATGTTCTTGTGAACTAGACTGCTATTTCTGGGAATGTATATCTAAAAACCCGTTAGCAAGGCATATGATCTTATTCTAAAGTTACAGTGAAGGAAGCCTTAACTCTGCTGTCTTAGAGCTGGGGAGATACAGCTGTTTTCTTATGTCAGCCTGAGCTATGATATAAAACAGCTTTTAAATATGACTCCCAGGCCTCATGTGTAACAACAAGCCTAGCTTTGGAAAATATCCTAGTGTTATTTCCATTCATCAAAATTACACAGCTTAAGAAGAAATCATCTTCGTGGCCATCCACAGATACACACGTGCCCAGTAGATGGAACTTACCATGTGATAAACACACAGGAAGTGGGGGAATTTCCATACCATATACACAGTAGCAGCAGCATGCAGAGAGACAACAGGAGCAAACATGCATTCTGGAGTCTGTATTCTCGTAAGCCTTGCTTGAAGGAGACATATCCATCAGAGAGATGTTCTTCTGGTGGACTGACATCTGAACTTCAACTGCCATCTGCTTCACCTCTGGTAAAGCCATTGCTTCCAGCGTCATTGAATACCTACTGCGTGCCAAATGTTACTAAAACAGTGGAGAATGCTCTGTCTGCTATTCACAATGCCTCTCTAGAAAGGCTGAGCCGATGTGATGCCTTAATAGGATGGATGCCTGGGACTGTTCGCTCAAGTTATCCTCTGCTGTGCCATGCTTGAAAGTGTAAATATAGAAAGGAACATGATAAGAACCATAAAAAGAAAACATAGTGTTCCTTTTCAACAGCACAAACAAACTGCTGTCTTTCAATAACAATGACCCCTTAGATGTTAGCTTGTCTCTCTCCCTCTCTTTCTGTCTCCCTCTCTACATACGTGTGTCTGTCTGTGAGTATGTATATTTTCATACATACTTTGTATATAGTTAAGCATATTTTTTGAATGCATATGTTCATATGTAGCATGAATCCTAAAGGGGCTTATTAATAAAAAACAAATCCGGAGCCAGGTATTGGGGTGAATGCTGAAAGATCAGAGAAGCAGAACAAGCCCCAGCTACCTCACATTGCCAGTTCCTCAGCTGATCCTGTTTCCTTAGACTGGAAGCCTCTGAGTCCTCATCCAAATGGATCTCAGCTGAACTGTGGCTCAAAAGCCTAAAAGCTTAATCAGCTCTAGTTCCTGTTTTCACACCTTATATACCTTTCTGCTTTCTGACATCACTTCCTGGGATTAAAGGTGTGAGTCACTATGCCTGGCTGTTTCCAGTGTGGCTTTGAACTTACAGAGATCTGGATGTATCTCTGCCTTAGAAATGCTAGGATTAAAGGTGTGTGTGCCACCATTTTCTGGCCTTTATATCTAGTGGCTTTTCTCTTCTCTGACCCCAGATAAGTTTATTAGGGTGCACAATATTTTGGGGAACACAATACCACCACATTCATATGTTATTTTCATATACTGTATTTGAAAAATGAAACTAACACAATAATATCAATCCAGATATTTTTAAATGTTTCCAAATTAAAAAACAACAAAAATAAAATAGTAAAATGTGATTGTATCACACTAAAAAGCTTTTTTTTTTTTTACAGAAAATTAAACAATATATGAAGAAACAACTTAAAGAATGGGAGGAAATATCTGTAAATTATTTATCTGATAAGTCAATATTCTAGGTGACAATAAGATGATCCAGGGGGTAAACGTGCAACATGCTTGTCACTCAAACTTGACGACCTGAGTTTAATCAGCAGAAGACAGGTAAAGAAGGAAAAAAAAGATTTGACCCCACAATGCTGCCCTCTGCCCTCCACACATGTGCCATGGCATGCACACTAGTGTGCACTTACACACACATATGGACACACACACACACCATTTTTTTTTAAATTTAAAAAAGTCTAAATATAAAAGAAACACACTCAATGACAAAATAACTGAGTAATTCAATTTTTGAATAGTCCAAGTGGGGCTGAGAGCACTTGCTGTCCTTGCAGAGGACAGGAGTTCAGTTCCCAGCATCCAAATGGATCAGCTCACAGCTGCCTGTAACATCAGCTTCTGGGCATCTGATGTTCTCTTCTAAACTCTTAAAGAACCCACGCTTAACGGCAAACATACCACCAACACAAGCATGAACCCACATGTACATAAGTTAAAAATTTTTAATCACATTTGAAGAATAGGCAGGAGATGGACAGGGGTATAGCTCAGTGGTAGAACATTTGCCTAACATTCATGAATTGCTGTGTTCAATCACCAACATTAAAAAAAAAATAAAATAATAAAAATTGAGCCAAGGACCCAAATAGAAATTCTTAAAAGAAGACATACAAATGGTCAACATATAGATTAAAAAGTCCCTGGTATCACTAATCATCATTGATACACAAATTTAAACTAAAATACACATTTGGGAGAATAGATATTATCACAAAGGCAAAAGAAAGCAATCTTGAGAGTGAGCTGTGGAACACAGTTGGTGGGAAGGCATATTAGCACACATTGTAAAAGCATTATTGAAATTCCTTTTGAAATTTAGCATAGAATTGTTATGTGGTTCAGCAGTCCAAGTACTTGGGAGATATTGAAAGGAACTGAATGAATATTGAAGAGACATCAGCACTCTCAAGTTTATTGCAGGATTGTTTATGGTAGCTTGAGTGGTCAAGATGGGAATAGTAAATTGAGAGCTGGGTCAAAGGATGCAAAATTTCAGTTAGATAGGGAGGATTAGATTAAAATATTGTGGCTACTGTTAGTAATACATTTTATTCTTGAAAAATCTAAAAGTATATGTAGTACATTCTCATAACAAAATGATAACTGAGGGAGATTATGTGTATATTAGTTACCTGGATTAGCCAGGCTAATAGATCCATATTTCAAAACAATGTGCTGTACATGACAAGGATATATATGTATATGTATATGCTGTATATGGCTTGGCCTGCTGAGAAGCATGTAATGGGCTCTGTTTTCCACCACAGAGAATATATGTGTGTGTGTGTGTGTGTGTGTGTGTGTGTGTTCTGATTTGGCTCATACCTGGCTTTTGTCTGCCCACTCTTGTAAAGGACTGTAATCCCCATTTTCACAAAGGCAAACTCGGCACAGTGGTTTCCTAATTGCAGGTCAGCAGTTACACTCAATGCCTTCTGTCTACAGCTACACTTTCTTTACATTTAGCACTCTGATACACATGGTTTCCTTTTCTGAAATTGTTATTTATGTTTACAAATAAAGGCATAAGCAATTTTACATGTACAAATATACATATATACATACACATATATGTGTATACGTGTGTGTGTGTGTGTGTGTGTGTGTGTGTGTATACATAAAATTTTACCTAATAGGCTGACAACTTGTCTCAGTACGAGCCATACTTATTAACTTAGTTGCCAATTCTGATGATGTGAGTTTCATCCCCAGACCCACATGTGGGAAGAAGAGAAGCAACTCATACCAGTCGCCCTCCAACCACCACACATGTTGTGGTATGCACACACAAAATAAATAAATAATGAAAATAAATTTTAAAAGTTAAAGTTATCCATTGTGCTTTTAGGCATTTATCACACAAATTGAACCATGTTAAATGTACCTTAGGGAGTCAACGAAAAGGAAGTTATTTTTCCAAATGCCCGTGAGCTGTTCTCAAACTCCATCCTTTGCCCTGGCCCAGAGGTATTTATGAACTCATTCGAGCTCCCCTCAGATGCAGCACACTGCCGCTGCTATTTTTAGCCTCCTAATTCCCTTTCCAATTGCTCAGTCCACAGCTTGCCATCTTTAGAAATGTTCTTTAGGTGAGCTTAGAGTATCTTATGAAAGAGAACAGGGCTTTATGTTTTTCTTTTTCTGGTTTATGTGTGGATTTCTCACACCTACTTTCCAGGTCAATGACAACTACTTCAGGGTTGTACTCTGACTACTCACGATGGTTAGTGTTTACCTCATTTGCTTCTTATGAATAATCAGTGATGCATGTTTTCAATAGCAGAGGTATCATACTGACACACACAGAGAAGCACGGGTGAACTTTCATGTTCCTTCTTTAGATGATGGATACTGCTTTTATAGAAATGTCATTTCTTCCCGGTTGACTTCCTTTGGATTGTAGGAAAAAATTTCCTTTGTGAGTCATCTGATTCGGCTCATACACAGCTTTTGTTTGACCACTCTTATGAAGGACTCTAAGGTGAAAGCCTTAGAGAGATCAGGAATATAAGGAAAGCCACCAGCCAACCTCACCTCACCAACTCTGCAGCTTCCAAGGAGTGTGACTTCCTGTCTACTCAGGCTTATATGCCTTGCTGTTCTGCCATCTGATTTGCTCTGTGTCTAGCTACATCACTTCCTCTTCCTGGCCAGCTCTGTCACTTCCTGTCTGTACAGGCCTCCAGAACTCTATGGTTGGTACTGGGATTAAAGGCATGTGTCACTACACTTGGCTCTGTTCCCTAGCGTGGCCTTGAGCAGACAGAGATCCTGCTTGCTAAGTGATAGGATTACGGGTGTGTGCTACTACTGCCTGACTTCTTTGTTTACTTAAAATGGCTTGTTATTTCCTCTGATCTCCAGGTAAACTTTATTTATTAAAGCACAAATAAAATATCACCACATTTCAGCACAACTAAAATATCACCACACAGGGGAGCAGAACCAAATTTGTGGTTGAAGAAAGGTTATGAAAAACAGTGATGGTTGGGTTACAATTCAAACAATAGATACTGCTTTTCTAAAGACAGGGTCAGGGATTCCGGTTGTCATGAGGATAGTATGGCAAAGAAGGAAAGCAGCACATACAATAGCCCTGGAGTAGGAAAGACCATGATGCATTTAGGGCACAGGAGGGTCACTGAAGTCAGAATGCAGCGAGTTACAGGCCATGTAGTCACCAGGGGAAGATGGGACCATCTTGCCAGGGTTTGTACTGACGTAGGTGAATGTTTTCATGCAGTGGCAAGCATCTGAGTCACTTTAAGTTGGAAAGTTATAAAAATCAACTTGGATATCTATCAAATATGATGCAGATACTTGCTGGAGTGTTCCAGCATCTGTGAAAGCATTTTGTAAAGCCAAAAGCATTACCAAAATGTCAAATGTAAGTTAGCATTACCAAAAAAAAAAAAAAAAGTTTTAGTTCGCAAAGAGACAGTTATTGAAATAAAGGAGTAGATAAGATAGTACATTTAAAAATATGTCCAAAATGATAGAAAAATTCTTGTGATCATTTACAAAGCTAGATACTTGGCTCTCAATGGTGTGGATGGTTAAAACGTGTTACAGGAACCGTCAAGGCAGAAGCAAGCAGAAGCATTTGCTTGCTAGCATTTTCTGTCAGGAGGGACTATCACTTGGGGAAACCAATGCCAGGAATGGTCATTCGCTGCACTCCTTGTGGCTCTGTTCCATCAGTAACTCACCATGTGATCTTGGGTCCATGTTTTGAACTCCATGAAACCATTTCCATTAGGAAATAACAGAGGAAAGTAGCTGGTTGCTTCTCGGCTCTTCCATTCAAACAGCATGCATCTGTTGTCCATAAAATTGTTATATATGAACACGTGAGGGAAAATCATGTGTGTTCATATGCCCTTTCCATATGTGTTTCTTATGAATTGAAGGTCACAATTATATAGTCACAACCCTTTTTGCACCATGTCATTCAATGTGTCATCCACATGGTGTTTCGTTTTGTTTTCAAAGACAAACTGTTCTTGGAGGTCACCAGGTCCTTTGTTCTTTAATCTTCTAGGAAACAGTTAACTAATGACTCTGCATCTTACCAGAATAAAATTTTCACACATTCTAGAAAAAGCTATATAAAATGAAGTCCCCGTCATTCTCTAGGTTTACTAGCAAAGGTGTCCTTAAAAATAGCTTTACCCTTGGCTGGGCGGTGGTGGCGCACGCCTTTAATCCCAGCACTCGGGAGGCAGAGGCAGGCGGATCTCTGTGAGTTCGAGGCCAGCCTGGGCTACCAAGTGAGTCCCAGGAAAGGCGCAAAGCTACACAGAGAAACCCTGTCTCGAAAAACCAAAAAAAAAACCAAAAAAAAAAAATAGCTTTACCCTTCTATCCCCCTCCCAGTTTACCCAGGAGATCTTAACTATTTCCCCTTCCTGGATGCCTCCATGGGTGTCCCTCTTAGGGTCCTCCTTTTTACCTAGCTTCTCTGGGATTTTATTCTGGTTATCCTTTGCTTTCTGTGTAATAGTCACATATTAGTGCATACATACCGTACTTGTCTCTCTGAGTCTGGTTTACCTCACTCAGGATGATTTTTTTCTAGTTCCATCCATTTGCCTACAAATTTCATGAGGTCATTTTGTTGTTGTTGTTGTTGTTGTTTAACTGTTGAGTAGTACTCCATTGTGTAACTATATCACATATTCTTTATCCATTCTTTGGTTGAAGGGCATCTAGGTTGTTTCCAGGTTCTGGCTGTTATGAATAATGCTGCTATGAACATAATTGAGCAAGTGTCCTTGTGGTATGATTGAGCCTCTTTTGGGTATATGCCCCAAAGTGATATTGCTGAGTGTTGAAGTAGGTTGATTTCCATCAGCAGTGTAGGAATGTTCCCCTTACTCTGAATCCTCTCCAACAAAAGCTGTCATGAATGTTTTTGATGGGGAGGGGATGAGGGCAGGGAACATGAGGGATCAAGATGGCCAAGTTGGGGAAGGAACTAGAGGAAGAGTAATGAAAGAGGTATCTTGATAGAGGGAGCCATGGGCAAGGGAGAAACCTGGTGCCAGGGAATTTCCCAGGATTCCACAACGATGACCTCAACTAAGACTCCTAGCAACAGTGGAGAGGGTGCCTGAACTGGCATTCCTCTGTAATCAGATTAGTGACTACCCTAATTGTCATTATAGAACCTACGTCCAATAACTGATGGAAGCAGATGCAGTGATCCACAGCTGAGCACTGGGCTGAGCTCCTGGAGAGCAGTTGAAGAGAGGGAGGAGGGAGCAGATGAGCAAGGGGGGAAGGGATCAAGTTCATGATGGGGAAAACCACAGAGATAACTGACCTGAGCTAGTGGAAACTCATGGACTCTGGACCATCAGCTAGGGAATCTGCATGGGACTGAACTAGGCCTTCTGAACATGGGTGACCATTGGGAGGCTTGATTTGATTGTGGGGCCCCTGGGAGTGGGACCAGGACTTATACAAGGTGCATGAACTGACTTTTTAGAACCCATCCCCTATGATGGGATACCCTGCTCAGCCTTGATGCAGAGGGGAGGGGCTAGGCCTTGCCTCAACTTGGTATGCCAGACTTTGTAGACTCCCCAAGGGAGGCCTTACCCCCTCTGGGGAATGGATGGGGAGTGGGATGGGGGAGAGGTGGAGAGGGATAGGAGAAAGGGAAAGAGTGGGAACTGGGGATGGTATGTAAAATGAAAAAGAATATTTTAAATAAAAAAAATGTATCTTTAATCTACTTAAATACAAGTTCCTTCCCTACCTTTTAAGGGGGGTTCTCCTGAAGAAACACAGGTGCTAGCTATCCAACTTCATTATTTACCTTAAGACATCATATGTTTATGAGATCCTCAATTGGATCCAGCAATTACTGAAATTGATATGGGTAGATATGAATAGATAGAGATGGACTCAAGCTCCTTCGTTCATTTTCAAGTCTTCCTGATAAAGTGAGCTACATGTGAGTGGCACTCAGTCTCTGATCCAAGCAGTTGTAGTTCATATAAAAAAACAAAAGTATTTCTGTAAGTAATACATAATAAATCTGAGAGAACTATGTCATCACAGGACATAAAATTCCCAGCAAGATAACATAGTGAGGCAGGAGCTCTAAACTCCCACCCTTGGAATGAATGAGTAACACCTATAGGGTAAAACAAGCAATAAGAAATTGAAGTCATGCAAGAGGGACACAGCTGTCAAGCAAAGTAGAGAAACACAGAGGCTTTGGATTTCGACATAACCCAGTGAGTTTAGCCGCTTGGTAGTCCTGATGATTATAGGTAGTCATGAAACCTCTACATATAAAATAAAGATCATTGATACTTGCCAATGAACTATTAAATTTTACCAAGGAGTGGTTATTGTAAAGCCAATAGTATAGTGAGTACCTAATAAATATCACATGCAAAAGATCATGGTGCTGTTAGAATTTTTAAATGGGAGAGTTTGTTTCCATCTCAGACCAGTTGCAGCACTGTACTTGAGACAATGCATGCAATTAATGAATATTAAGCAATACATAAGTTATTATGCTGTACACGGAAACTAAAACCTTAGCTGTACAGAAAAAAAAATCTTTTTTTTTTTAAATTACACTTATTTATTGTGTGCATGTGTGTTGGTGCATATGTGGTCAGAAGATAGTCTGCAGTAATCTCTTTGCCTCCTCTAGTTCCTGGGAATTCAACTTGGCAGGCCATTAGACTCCAGTGAAAATTCCTTTATCCACAGAGCCATCTCTCCAATCCAATGATAGAAAGCATCTTTTAAGAAATTCACTAGTAAATTATGAAACGATTAACGTTACTGACTTAGTCCAAGTTTTCTTCTGCTTATTGGAATAGTCCACTGTCCTTTGATGCCTAGCATCTTTACATATTAACAATCCTTTTCTCTAGTGAATTCCTTCTCAGACATGGAATGGAAAGTGTGTATAAAGAATTGGAACCATTATATAGCTCAAAGATTAAAGGTGCTTGCTGCCAAACTTGAAGACCTGACACACATTCTTCAGGGAGAGAACCACTACAAATTGTCCTATGTACACTGTGATGTGCACACACACACACACACACACACACACACACACACACACACACACACACAAACACAAACACACACACACACACTAAGTAAAAGAATAAATAAAATATAATATTCTTTTAAAAGAATTGCAATACATTGTGGTGCAATTTTATGAAAAATATTCCCATTTTAAAAATTCTCAATGCTAAAAATGAAATGGGAATATGCACTGTAGTCAATAGTTACTGAGTATATACTTTACAATTGTCAAGAGATAAACAAACCAGGTATCACAGCACTCAGAACTCAGGAAAATCATAAGTTTGAGGTCAGCCTGGAAAATAAATGCTTTCCACACACCTTGAAAGTCACCTGTATTCATCAACAACTAAAGTCAAACTTACTTTGAGACATTTGTTGATAGCAGCTAACAAACTGTCAATATGGTGGGAAAGTTAAAACCCACATAAGCTAGTTGATGCATAATTAACACATAATGTCCAGCTAATGAATATGCACAGTGATGATGCTTCTGTCTTT